CTTTTATAACTATTTTAACCCCAACTTTCCTTGCCAAACGGACCTTACGTAGCCTTTCATTTCCTATTCTCCTCAAATTGATTTGTCAAAAAAAAGAGTGGAATAGTCGGCTTTTGGTGATTCCTAGGACTGATTTAGCTACCATCATCATAATATATTAAAGTTTTAAAGGTTAATTTTTTTTTGTCTTTAAAAATAAAAATTTTGTTATAAAAGATATTTAATGATTAATTTTTATCGTCTTGAGAATAATCGCTAAAAATTCGTTTCGAAAAATAAAAAATAATACTTTTAGAGACGAAATTTTGAAAATACTACTAATAAATAGACTTTTAGACAAAATAATTTGGTCTTACAATAATTTATTTTTTGAGACAAAAAATTTGGTCACAAAAAAATAATAATTCATCACTAATGTCTAATTTTCGTTATTAAAAATATAATGATAACACTTTTCAAAATAAAAATATTTGATTCTTAAAAAATATTTTTATCTTTAAATTTTGATTTCTAAAACTTTAGTTTTTTTTAATAAATTTAATTTTTCAATTTAAAATTATTGAATTAATTATGATCTAGTTCACACAACTTTTGTTTCTAAAAATTACCAAAATGTTACTTTTCTACCCATTAAAAGAAGAGTACATCAAGCAATAGCCTCTTTATTTAATTATTACTCTTTTTTTTTTCAAAAGAGAGACTACTAATAATAGTAGTGGTAAAAAGAATTGAACAGGTAGAGTTAATTCTCTTTTCAGCCAGCAGATTGAATCCTAGGGTGGAAAAAGACTTGGCACCGTACAATTAAAGGCCGGCAACATTGTCTCAATTAGGTCCTCTCTAATTTGGACTCACTCCCCACTCACACATTTCCCAACTATCATAAAATCTACGTTGATTTCAGGGGAGGCCCCCCTCGTTCCTCCCTCCCTCCCTCCCTCCAAATTAATCTAAAAATTATTTAATTGTTTGATAAATTACATATGCCTTTCTTAAAAATTTTAAAAAATACATATAATAAAATCTCATAGTTTCGACTTACATTCTATTTGCATGTTTCTAGTTTTTCAAAAATACTTTTCAAAAAATTATATTTTTTTATTTTTCATATTTTTTTTGTTTTTATTGAATTTTTAAAATATTTTAAGTATTTTTTTTATTTTTAGACACACCTAACATAAATACACATAAAAGTATAATTTTTGTAAAAAAAAAACTTTTAAAAATTCACTAAATACTAAAAATATATTAAAAGAATTACAAGAATTCAGTATATTTTTCATATTTTATGTATTTATTAATTTTTAAAAATATTTTTTTACAATTTTTTTACTTTTAGATACATCTAAATAAGGTGCATCTAAAAAAAATTTTAAAAATGTTTAAAATTTTAAAAATATTCATTAAAAACAAGATAATACAAAAAAATAAAAAATTCAGTTTTTAAAAAAGTTAATCTAAAAAGCTCAAATCAAACACACACATTAATTTATTTATTTATTTGTTGATAAAACTAAATGAATTGAAATTAATATAAATGATATGAAAATACAAAAATAAATAACGTAAGCATACATTTTTATGTGAAAAAGATGTCAACATTATTTTTTTTATTTATATAACTAACAAATTATTAATGAAAATGGACTAAGTATTATATAAATTTAAAAATCAAGGGAGCTTAATATGATTATTTTAAAATTGTGGGACTTATTGTATTTTCTCTAAATCTCAAGAAAGTCAATACAATTTACCGTAATTGTTTATATGTGGTGTTTTAAATTAATTAGTGCATAATTTTATCAATGAAATATGTTGAATTACTTTTGTTAGGTGCTTAGGAGATAAAGAATGACTTGCTTAATGTGCGTTGTAATGTTTTATTGATTGAGAATATTATATAAACAGTTTTATATAATATTATTGAGAAAGTGTATAATAGTTTTATTGGTGTTAGTTTTTTTTTTTAAAATGTCTTAAAATGTTTGTTATATTTTAGAAGTGAATATAATTATTTTAATAATTTTTTCAAACTAACCTTTATTGGAAATCATAAATATATTTAAGGGTGAGAGTAAAAAATCAATTCAAAAAATGAATGACATTTTATTAGAATTTGAATACATTAATTTATTTCTGATGTACTAAAAAAAATACATTAATTATATGTCTCTTTTTTTCCTTTTTCTTTTTTTGATTCTAAAAAAGTTAAAATTAAAACAAAAATAAACAAACAAATAAAAACAATAGCACGGAGTTAGTATAAATATTTGGGTGGGACATAGACGTGCATGGGACTATTGGTAAAGAGCAAAATTACCGACATAACATGTTTTTATAGAAGTAGGATTCACATTGCGATGATGTAGGATTCACTATTAGTGAAAGTAAGCTGTGTAAAATTTTATAAAAATATTAAGATAAGTTATAAATATATTTTTTTAAGATTTATTTAAAATATAAATTGTTCTTTATAATTTTAAAAATTATATCTCGTCCTTTGAAATTTATTATTTTATTATAAATAATCTCTTTTATTAATAAATCATTAAGTCAATTAACAGTTTTGATGATGTTAGGAATTTATTTTAATTAATAATTCAGATAATTTTATTATTGTATAGGAGAACAGTTAAAAGTTTTATTATTTCAGTTAATTCTATTAAATAAAAAAAACATAACAATGAGGTATTTATATTTTTTGAAATCATATCGGACAATTTGTATTTTAAATAAATTTTATGAATGTATTTATAATTTATCTAAAAAATTATTTGTAGCAAGAAGACTCATTGGTAAAATGAAGGGAAAAAAAATTATCAAAAACACAACACAACATACTTAAAAAAAAAAAGACAGTTACACGGCAGTGATATGAGAAAAAATTAATTACACATTAATAAAAAAAATTATAATTATAATTATTAATATTTATAAAGCTTATCACTTATCTATAATTAATTTTTTCTATTCTTAGTGCACTTTCTCAAAAAAAAAAAAAGAAAGAAAGAAAAAAAGGTCTCGTTTGGAAATAGACTTTTTTAGTAATTTTTTGATTTTTTGGTTAAAATATATTGTAAAAAAAACTAGTATATTTTAGATGAATTTTTAATTTTTTACGAAAAGATGTGCAAAAAGTAGAGAGAAAAAAACCTTTGACTTTTTTATATAAGTTGTTGGCTTTTTAATTTTTTTAATGATTTTTTAACTTTTAGGCTAAAAAGTGATGTTGCCAAATGATACCTTAATTTTCTACTTACCCCTTTTGGCAATACCATAAATAAGTTGCTTATTAGCTTGGGAAGTGGGTTAGCTTTCTGGCTTTTTAGCTATTTTAACCTAGGCTTAAAAAGTCTTGATTAGGAATGATTTTTTGATTTTTTTGACTTTTTGTTAGCAAAAGAATGTAATGATTATGGATTAGATGTGATACTTTGTCTTATTGGGTTAAAAAGTCTTTTTTTTTTTTTTTTTTTTTTTTTTTTTTTTTTTTTTTTTTCTGTGACTATTTTGCCAAAAAATCCCAAACCTCAACTTTCCAAATGAGCTCTTATTTGAATCATATTCAGCTTGCTTGGTTTCATTTTTTCAAAAATACTTTTTAAAAAATTTTACTTTCTTATTTTCTGTGTTTTTTATTTTTACTGAATTTTTTTAATATTTTAAGTAATTTTTTTTACTTTTTAGACACACCAAACATAAATACATCTAAAAAGTAAAAAAATTGTAAAAAAAAAATCTTTTAAAAATTCACTAAATACCAAAAATACAAAAAAAAAGAGAAGAATTAAGTACATTTTTTTTTGTATTTTTATGTATTTATTAATTTTTTAAAATATTTTTTCACAAATTTTTTACTTTTTAGATACATCTAAGTAAGGGGCATCTAAAAAAGTAAAAAAAAATATATTTAAAATTTTAAAAATATTTACTAAAAAAAAATAAAAACAAAAAAACTCAATTTTCAAAAAAAATTTAATTCAGAAAACTTAAATCAAACACATTGTTTACCTCTCTAGTTTTTTACATGTTTTTTTCGTAATAAACAAAAAAAAAGCCAACTTTATGTTTATTTTTGTATGACTTATTTTTTGACTTTTTAACTTATAAAAAGACGTCTATAAAGTAAAAAAATAATGCGGCATAAATAAATTAATAAATCAATAAATTACTTATTTTTTGTGTTGCCAAAGGGACCTTTAATATTTTATACAACATATTGCCTTTTATTTAAAAGGAATATCACCATTAAGTAGTAATATGGAAATTTAATTACAAATTCATAAAATTTATTATTAATATTTATAAAATTTATTATTTATTTATAATTATTTTTTAAAATTCCAACTCAACTGTGATTTTCCCTTATTTTAAACACCTAGACCTAGGGTGGACACCCATATCCTGCCCCAGAGATTGTGTTGACTCACACAATCACCTCCATTCACATCCTATGATCATATCAGCGTACCAAATATCTGTCTCTCTCTCTCTCTCTCTGGACCATCTTAAACGGGGAATTTAATTTTTTATTAAATTTAAATAAAATTTTAATAAAAAATTTTATTAGATACTGTCTATTCTAATATTAAAATTAAATTTTTTATAAATTTTTTACATATTTTTTATTGTATGAAAGAACGTCTGGATGGATGTCAATGTCATTCGAATAAAAAAATTATTAAAATTGTTCTTAATGAATATTTGAAAAGATGTCTGAGCTAACAGTAAATTTAAATTTGATAAAAAAAGAAAATCTGTTTTCATTTAATGAAATTTTTGATTTTGTTTTTATTTGATTTGTTGTTTGAAATGACTTATATAAATATGTTTTTTATCTTTTTATAAAAAAAATTGTACAGACCAATAGATAAGTGATATGATAAAAATAAAAAAACAAAAAATGAATTGTATTGGAATTGTCAAACATGACCTTAGTGACAAAAGTTAGAACGCGATACTACATTGGAATATATATATGTTCATGAACATTGGTCTCCCCCAACTCAAGTCTCTAGTCCAAAACCCATTTGTTTGAAATGGATTGCTCTTCATCATACTATGCTCACTCTTCTTCGCTATCAACACCTGTTAAGGCTAACAATGGCAACAACAAGAAGAGAACCAAACCGGTGAAGCTCTCGACCGACCCGCAAAGCGTGGCGGCTCGGGAGAGGAGGCACCGGATCAGTGACCGGTTCAAGGTGTTGCAGAGCTTGGTTCCAGGTGGAGCCAAGATGGACACGGTGTCCATGTTAGAAGAAGCCATTCACTATGTCAAGTTCTTGAAAACTCAGATATGGCTTCACCAGACCATGATCAAGTTCTTGAAGAATGGTGAGTTTGATGATGACCCAACTACTGACTTGATTCTTCCACCGAGTTCTGTGACTCAGCAGCAGCAGCAGTGGGTGTGCTCGCCGGAGGACTTGGTGGTGGGTCATGAAGTGCAATCGGCGGTGCGGGTTGGGTTTCCGGGTTGTGGGTTTGGAGGTGAAGAGATCATGGGTTTTGATGGATCTATTAATTACTAGCAAAACTCTATCTATGTATATGGTATTAATTTCTTTAGTTTGTGTGAAATTTTACTTTAGTTTTTAGAGTTTTTATTTGAATAATTTGATCTTAAAAAAAAAGTTGTCGTAACGTGATCGCTTCGTTACATATTGTTAATATTTTGAATGGAAAAAAAATTATGTGCAAAATTAGAGGACTAAAATGAAATTCAAATAGTCTTTAGTCCATTGCACATAATTTCAAATTTTAACATTAGGCGACTAAGGGATCATATTACAATAAAATTAAAAATGTGAGTTTTAAAGTAAAACTATATAAGGATTAAAGTGATATTTTGCTTAAACTATAGGACTAATGATGTAATTATATATATATATATATATATATCAAATGTTGTAATGGTGTTGATGAATCTACAATGCTACTATTGTGGAATTGGTTTTTGATAGTGTGATGTAGTGAGAAAGATTTTTATGGGTATGAATCTGATAAAAGGAAATCTACAGTTGAAGTTTAAGCTTAATTGAGATGGATTGAAAATTTTCTGGGCTACAACCTATTTTGATTCTTAAAAAAATTTATACTAAAATATTGACCGAAAACTAAGTGAAATATATGATTAATGAAGTATATAATTTGTGCATTTATGAAACAATTTGTACTATTTTTATTTATTTATTATTGGTATGATATTTTATAAGTTTTTATAAAATGGCTTCAAACTTTACATGAGTCTCTCTTACACTAAGGTCATGTTTGTTTGGGTGGATATGAGCTTGTGATTGGACTAATAGTCCAATAAAATTATTAATCCGATGTTTGGTTAAACAATTAAAGTACGGACTAATTATTTTAAACTTGACTATTAGTTAAGATAGGATACATATTAGTCATGGGAATACTAATCCAGTCCGCCCAAACAAACATGGCCTAAATGAAAAATTGATAAAATCAAACTATGACCATATGGTGAGTTTTGTTCCTTAACCAACCGTGACAATCCTTGTTAGGCAACTAAAGGAGTCCCTACTCGTTAGGGAGTAGGATATGCAAGGCCTAAATAAGTTTAGTAAAACAGAAAAATCACATGTATTCTTTTAAGATAGGCTTGAATCAGAGCTTTTTCGAGCTAAGCTTGAATCATAGCAAGAATCTAGTCCTAACAAGTATTGGTATTGTTAACCTTGATTGGCTACTATTGTGAAATTGATTACGATAATGTGTGATGTAGTGAGAAAGCTTTTCATGGGTATTACTGTGGACTCTGGAGAGGGAATGAAATGTACAAGACAATGGTCTCTAAATCACTATTGTTGTCTAGACTCTGTAGTTTAAGCTGTGGCTACCAATACGGATTTTATATCTATTATTTGATTCATTCGTTGTTTATATCAACGTTTATGATGGTCTTTATATTATTTATAAAGGTAAATTATAAATACATCTCTTAATATTTGATTAAAATATAAATTATTTTATGTAATTTTAGAAATTATATTTTATTTATTGAAGTTTTTTAATTTCATAACAAATTGCTTTTTTTGTTAATAAATTATGAAATCAATTAACAATTTTTGATGATATTAGAAATATATTTCAATTAATAGTTTCGGTAATTTTATTAATGTATTGGAGAGTAATTATAAATTTTAATTTTTTAATTAATTCTGAAAATAAAAAATTCTAATAATAGAGTATTTGTAATTTTCAAAATCACAGAAGACAATATGTACTTTAAGTAAATATTAGGAAATGTATTATAATTTACCCCATTTATAAAAGGAGTTTAAATTTATTCAATAATTTTATCATAATGGTGATAATATCAAATCAATTGATTTTATTTATAAATAAATCTACAAACAACAACTAAAAGAGCAATGATATATTCCTCTAATTTTGAAACTCTAATTGAGTTCTAATAATGTAGCAGAGAATAAAAAAAATTATAGAAAAAAAAAATCAAGGCTAAAACATCACATCAGAATGGGATTCATCCCCATTAAAGCTTTCCTTTATTAGAACTCCCAATCATTTTTGCACCTAAAAATGTCCGAATCAAAACATCAAAATGATGTTGAGTTCACAATTTCAATTTCAACCCAGTTTAACATTGTAGTTTAATGGTCTGTTGCATTATTCAATATGTTCGATAATATTTTCATTTTAACAGGAGATAAAATATCATCCTAGGAGTAATTTATTTTATTTTATTATTTATTTTTTCCTTCTTGGCAGGAAAATATGTGATTAGTGTTTAATTGTAAGTCCCTGTTCCGACAATGGTGTAAGCCCATATATAGGATACGCTGGTTTACGTTGGACACTGGACCAATGGCCCAATTTTGGAATTAATACTGAAGGTCCCAGCCATAATTAGTTTTGGGGGAATTCTATTTATACCAAAAAAAAATCATTAAATACTCTCAATTTTTCAGTGCATTCTATTTACTGTAATTATTTGAGATTTTATGTTACTATAATTTTTTTCTAAATTACCTTTTAAAATACACCCAAATAAGAAACAAATTACAAATCCTAAATCATATTTGTCACGATCTAAACCCGCCCTATAGGTTTAGCGTCGTAATCAGTCAATTATTCAAGATTATTATAAGCTTTTTTGTACAAATCAAAATAATTGGTACTAGCGGAAGCTTAATATAAAAAAAAAATATAATAAGTAGTCCAATAAGCTGTGATTCTAAATGAAATAACACATGCACATAACGTTACTTTACAACCCCTCCATTACATATACACCCCCTCCATTACATACATCACATCATGTACCAAAAATATTTATATACATATACACATATAACAAAATCTCAATATTATGATAAAAAACTTAACAACAGTCTTCTAGACCTAGTTCCAACTCGGAGGCACCAAAATCTCAAGACTCTATAGGCTTAACCGGTGGCTCAGCTAAATAATTCTTTCTGGACTAGCTCTTCATGACGCTCACCTATACATATATATACACACAGTGAACTAAAACCAAGTGAATAACATTAAAGTAAAGAAGGTAGTAAACGAATTTCAAATACATCATATCCGTAAAACAAATCATATCACAATCATTCTCATATCTGAATAATAATAATGGTACATCCAATAGAGCATATCATATTATCTTCCGACTAGAGTAATCGGTTTCGGATATTGATTAAACATAGCACCACTTTGTCAAGTGACTAACGAGATCTCGTAATCACGTATATGCTATAAATCCGCATTAACATGCTATTCCCTATGACTTGGAACCGTCTTTGGATGCCATAGTAGATTCAAAAATAGAACATTCGTTCACTTAACAAAATAACGTTTCAAAAGGTTTAACATATCAAATAGCATTTCAAATATAGTTCATATGAACATATCTTTATAGTAATGTTACTCACAGTGCTTGGTCGGTGAAACACCTCAACGGCTCAACCTGCAAAAACATATCCAAGCATAACATTTCATAACATATTCAATTTATGCAATCGGTTCTTAAACTAATTCGTTTCATCCGTTATTTATTCGTTAAATTGTTTCTATTTATTCTTTACTTTCCTTTGTATTCATGCTATGTATATAGATGTGTATTACACATGAAAACCATGTAAATGAAGGCCCGAAAGTCAAAAAAATGGAAAGAGAACAAAATCGAAAAAACTGCTCTGTAGGCCACACATGCAGTGGCCTAGCCGCTCGTGTGAGCAGAATGCAACTTAAAGCAAAATAGGGCTGGCTGCTCGAGCAGTAGACCAGGCCGCTCGAGCAATATAGGTGCAAACCAGTCCAAAATCTGCTAAAACAAATGGACCTTTTCCCTTTTGCAACCTCAACTTCATTGTATACAAAATAAGGCTCAAAACACCTTGAATTTAACATATCGTACTTGAAACAAAAATCATAACTTCAAATAAAAACCGAAGTTCCAAATAAAAGATCAAAATGGTAAAATCATAACACATGCAAATGTTGAGTTCCAAATCTTCAAAATCCATGGACTTCCCTCCTCAATCCTTTAACAATCATGCAATAGATCATATGTAGGAATAAGAATTCCATGGAAAATATGCCATACATGTTGATATTCAAACTAACACCAACAACTCCCTAATTAACCATGAGTTGCTCCTATCTCAACTTCATTTTCATGAGTTCATGTGTGTTTTAGCTCTATTTCAAGAAATTAAAAGGAAATTCTTACCTTAGATGGTTAAATTGGCGAAGATTTGGCTCAAATCCCTTTCTTTCTCTCTTTCTTCTTCATTTTTCTTCCTCTTGAGTTCTCTAGAACTCTCTTATTCTTTTCCTCTCTTTCTCTCTAGATTTTTTGTGTTGAGTCTAAGGCTCAACTAAGGCTCATTTGTATATATATATTTAAGGCTTAAATTTAATTAAATCTATTTAATTCACTCAGAATCAAATTTTTACAAAGCTACTCATTAAGTCCTAAAAGTCATATTGATCACAAATATGTCATCGGTTGTAGTTTTTGGCGCCTCTAAGGCCCTTAATTTCAGTTTAAAGTTGTAATTACAACAAATTTTTGTACAATCAAATAGATATAAATTCAAATCCTTCTAATTCACATACAATTTCTCATCAAACACCTAATCAATTAGCACATAACAATACAATTAGATGACTAATTAATCAGATGCATGTCCGAGTCATTACAATACTACTTTTAAAAACCCTTTCAAAAACTGTTCAAGATACAAACAAATCAAAAACCTTAAATTATACAACTTTCAAAAATCCTTAAACAAATTTCTCTTGTTGAGGTTTCATGAGATTTTCACATACGGTAACCCACTTGGCAATGAAGAAAATCGAAAAAAGAAGAGTAGCAAGGTAGAAATTAGAGGCGAAGCTGATCATTAGAGTTAGAAAATACAAAGGGATAGATTGAAAAGGCATTGGAATGACTTTCATTATTTGATTTTGCAATTTTTTGAGGAACCACAAAAGTGCTTGCTCACAAATTGACAAAAAGTGTATTTTGTTAATATATTAATACAGTAATGCTACAAACCCCGAGATGACTGAATAAATGACCAAAAATCTAGTTGGATTGCCACCTAAGATTAGTGGGTCCCACCACTAAACAATTCTCACTTTTCTCTCACGTGGTAGAAAAAATATTTTTGGGGAAAACATAAAATAAAGGAAGTAGAAAAGAAAAAAAAAAAAAACAAAAAGGCGCTAAAACCCCCTCAGCTCCTTTTAGACTTCTAGTCCATTGAAAGCGGCATAATCATCACCAACGAGAAGGAAAAATCATCGCCGAAGAAAATAGCTTGCGTCGAAAGAAGAGGGTTGATCAAGTAAGTTTTTAATTTTTTGGATCTAATTTTTTGT